AAGGTTCTGCTGTCAAACTTCCTACACCAGCCAGAACAATGTTCTTGCAGGACTGCATTCAGAAACACATATGAATTGAAAATCTTTTGGATTCCCATACACAAAACCCAATCTTTGACTATAATCTAGAATTGTATGGATGTAATCATTGTTAATTTTGTTTAACCCATAATTTTTCATACTACAATCACAAATTTAAAAAATGCTAGAACTTACCTGCCCTCAAAACGACATGCTAATTTGAGGATCGAGGAGACCAGTTGACACCGAAGAGAGAACACAGAGGCAGTACAAAGGCGTGTAGATTGGTTGTAAGCACGGACGGCGGGAATTCGAGGATATATCAGCAAGCCAAACCGGTGTAACCAAAGACGACGCGAATTCCATGATGGATGAAGAAATCCATGTTGGTGATGAACTAACTGATGGCCATAACCGAAACTATCGTCAGAGGAGGTTGAGAAAAAACATGAATACGTATGGCATAAACTAATTTACCAACATGGGTTGTCTAGGTTGAGAAACCGATTGATCGAACGTGAGCAAAACCGCCATAGTAACCGTATATTAAGGAGTTTAGCGAGTTTTAAATTAGATAACCATAAAACGAAGAAAAAGGAGACGTGGGGCGATACTTCAACAATTAACATTCGTGCGTACGAGAGAGAAACACATATGACCTGAGAGGAGAACATGGGAGCTCTGGGCGGAGGGAACCGCCAAGAAACCGTAAATAGAGAGTTATTACGGTCAGGATTAAAAGTTGGAGGAGTTTTAAGGGCTTGAGCAGTTTCCCACTCACCGTCATCCATAGTATTAATAATGTGGCCAAGTTATTACAATATCATGCAGTAGCTAGATATATCTTTTGTTGGCAACATAAAATGTAACGTGTGTTCCCACGTAATCTAGATGGATGAGCAACCAAATTGCATGGTATTGTTTATATTTGTATAAATTTAAACCTTCCGGCCATTCTCTTCTATTTGAAACATTACATTGCATAACAAAAAATCTTAGCTTTAGCGGCAACAAAAAGTGTCGCAAAAGGCAGGGGCGGAGCGTGAACAATTAATTTGGGGGGACCGAAAGAATCACTTATACGGGTCGACAAATATATTGTTAGACGATAATTTCCTCACGAAAGTAGCCAATTTTTGGCTTTCCCGAAGCTAGAATCTCTGTGACATAGATATTAATGGAAATTTACACAACTATTGTTGATGCTAATGTAATAAGTTATTGTTTCCAAATTATTTAGAAATCAGATTTTGATCATGTCCGGTTCGAAACCAAACCGGTTATATATTAATTTATTAGCTTTTTTTTTGTTATAATTTGAAAGAGAAATTGTTTTAAGTATAAAACTTATGAAACTAAAGAGTATAATCAATAAAGATAGAGGCTTGCAGATTGGGATTAGAACATCTTCTACATCATGTTAACACTTGTGTTAACCAAACAGAATAAATTCAAATTACGGTCTTAATTTAGATGAAAAACAATAAACATACCAAAAAAAACTTAACATAGGCAGAATCACTGATAATCAATAAAGATACAAGCGTGCACATTACAATGTTCTAAGATTTACATTCCGTCAAATAGATTCTATAGGAGATACCCCAAAAACCAGACATGGTAATAGTGAATCAAATGTTTGACATTCCTAATCGGCTGAATGTTGATTCCACTTTTCAAGCGGACAAGAGAGAAGAGAGAAACGGATAGAAGAAATAAATGGAGGAACTAAGGGACATGCCTGATTGCAGCGGCCAACAGTGGTGACCGGTGAGAGGTGGAGTGGGCTGATTGATTGCAAAAATTATGAAACCATATCCAAACTCCACTAAACGAAGATGGGGCAGTGATTAATCTAATTTTGACTTTTAGTTTAACTTGTGATTCGACATCGGAGATAAGGACGGGCCAA